ATGGCTCCCCATCTTTAATAGCTAATAAAGAAATATTAACCAAGTGCAATTAGACACAAGAGTGTCAAAAGGGAATTTCGTTGTTTCAGAATAAAATCCCTGGTTTTAATGGAAATTCCAAACAGACATAGTCAAGAGGCAGTAAGGACTACATTGGAGTCCAATTAATGATCTGAAGTCCATGGTCACTCAGCAGCCTACCCAAGAGGCCAGTGTGACCCTGGAAAAGAATGCTGGAGGGAGCTTCCCTGCAGGACCTGCACCAGCTCAAACCAATCTACAGGGATAGACATTCACTCACAGGTGTGTGTTGGAGGCGGGGGGCCCGCGGGGCAGAGGAGCTTATACTTGGGCCATTCAGAAAGCTCAGCAAGGTAGGAGGGGACAGGCTAGCCTTGGCCCTGTGCACAGCCTTAATAAAGGCAGAATCTGAGAAAGGAACTGGGAAACAAAGTGGAGGGTGGAGGTGTTAGGGTCGTGGATTACATGGGTTACTCTGTCCTCTGACCACAGAAGCCCAGGACTCTCTACACTGTACCTAGAGGGGTACAAACACTGAAGAGAATCTGTAACTCACCCCAAATCCCTGAGCTGTCATCTCACACCCTGCAGAGACACACACAGCCTCCATCACCACCCACCCAGATTCAGGACTCTTTCCCATCAAGACTACACATGGTCTCAAGATCCTTCTCAAAACTGCCCCACAGTGTCACCTCCTCTAAATCAGGGGGCCTCCCTGGTGGCACAAGGGGTTAAGACACAGCACTAAGAAGCTGTCCACAGCCACTGCAGCATGAGTTCGATTCCCAGCCAGGGAGGTGGCCCACATGGTGCGGCAGACCTCTCCTGTCTCACCCCCTGCTCCCCTCAGCAATGTATTTCACTACATCTGCCTGCTCTGCTCCCCACTCTGTCTCTGGTGAATCCTCTCACCACCACCACCCCCCCTATATCTCTGGCCTGCCCTCCAGTTCTTGTATGCATAGATAAATCTTTAAAAAATAAATAAATGGCTAGCACAAGAGATAAATCCACAATTACTCCCACACTAGAAGGTTCTTCGTGAAGAAATGCTCCACCTCCGTTCACCTCTTTGCTCTAAAGATATAGCACAAAGCACACAGATGCATGACTTAGCTCTAAGAGTTCCCTTCCTCCCAGAGGAAATGCTTTACAAATAATACATTGATGCCTCCACCTATTGACATTTTTATTACTGGAAATTGACAACTTTGCTGCATCCACGGACGACGTAGCCTTCTCCTAGGTTGGTTTATCTTTAAAAGCTGTTTTTACCCCTGCGGTTTGACCTTTAATATCAATGGACTAATCACATGGAGTCTTTAGTCACTTCGGCCACCTTGCCAGCTTCTGCCCACCTCATCCCTATCTTCATGGGTGGACCTTGTCTCTTAGGTTTGGGGAAAATTCTGCTAAAAACCCTTTGTGCCAAGCTGTACTTCACAACTACAAGCATAATGACACTTTGGAATCATCAATTTGTTATCGTTTTGTTTAATTCAACCCTTGATATTTGAAAGTGTCAGCCTTCTGGGTTCCAGAAAATCACTTAACAAGGTTTCTTTTCTCAATGGGAAGATGGAGTTCGCTTCAGAAAACCAAGTTTTAAGCCACACAAAGTACTTTCAAAATCAAAAGAAAACACTCAGATATTAACTTTAGGATTCTAATGACTTCAAACCTCATTTTCTTAAATCCTCTATTCCAGTTCTTATCCCACAATTTTTTTCCTTCTTTTTTCTTTTTTTTAAGATTATTTAAGCATACAAGAGCTGGGGTACAGGCCAGAAATGTGGGGGGTGAGAGGATTTACCAGAGACAGAGTGGGGAACAGAACAGGCAGACTGACTGAAAGACGCTGCTGAGGGGAGCAGCGGGCAAGACAGGAGAGGTCTGCTACGCCATGTGGGTTGCTCCCTGGCCAGCCGGGGATCGAACCCATGCTACAGAGGCTGCAGATTGCTTCATAGTGCAGTGCTTAACCCCTTGCACCACCAGGGAGGCTCCCTTTTTTGTCTTCATGATGAGATTAATCATCAGAACAAGTTGGCCCTCTGAACATTTCTCTGGTGTCACTTGTGGGCAGCCAAAAAAAAAAAAAAAAACTGTATTTTCTTTAGTTAACCTCATAAAATGCAGACTTCTCATGCCTATGCCAGATTTTTAGGGTTCTTATCTATAAATTCATGCCCACAGTCTGATTTTTTTGTTTTCCCAGGGACTGAAGCTAGATTAAGGCAGTAAATCAGGCATTGTGTGCTACAATGTTATATCAAATGGTCTTACTAAAATGTGCAAAGAAATCTAACACATTGGTAAGGAACACAGATATACAAAAGCTTGGAGAGCCTGTCTCTGTATCAAAACCCCGTCCCAACCTCCTGCCAAATGCTTCAGGTCTGCAGACCTACAGAGCAGACCTGTCTCCCTGTGAGCTGTGACATCAGACAGAGCCCCTGCCGCCTTCACTTTTCACAAGGTTTGCTCACTTGCTAACCATGAAGGCTCCACTCTCATCCTTACCGCTACAGGTTCCAAAGTTAACACTGGAGAATTCCAAAGGCATGTCACCTTCAATTCATCAACACCAAGTCCCAGATTCTAAATATTCCTATGCTCAGAAATCTAGGAATGAAGGGAAAGAATTTAGGGTGAGAAAATCTTTTCTTTTGAGAGATTTATTTGATAGCATTTTAGAGCCATGAAACAGAAGCTGATCCTAGGTCCTTCCAGTCAAACCACGTGTGGGCAGGAATGCCTTTCAGGGAGCTGTGTAGGGTTCCAGACCCAAGACATGAGCCACAGTCCACCACTTGGAACAATTCAGTAATTTATGTGTAAAGAGGGAATAATCTTGAAAAGAATAACTCAAACAACTGATGTGAAAAGGCTTTTCCCTCCTTGTCCTGTTTTCCTTTGTCATTTTAAATAGAAATTGTTCCGAGTTTGGGCAAGGGTCCCACATGGCACGCAGACCTCTCCTGCTGCGCCTGCCGCTCCCCTCAGCAGTGTACTTCATCAGCCTGCCTGTTCTGCTCCCCGCTCTGGTGGAGTCTCTCACCCTCCCATGCTTCTGACTGTCCCCAGTGCTTGTATAAATAAATAAATCTTTAAAAATAAAAAAAAGAATACAACATGTGTGTTATAAGGAGCATGAGACTATAGGATGCAGGAGTGCAACGAGTTAATGTCATAGAAGTTGGTCAGAAAATTCCTGTACTTGAAATGTTTACATATATAGTACAATACAGTAAATTTTCTTAACAGAAGTTACCTCATTAGGGTTTTGATCTAGCCCACTGCCTTACAACTCCAATGTCATTTCATACTCAGCCCTCAGATCTGGACTGAAAAGCTATATTTCAACCAATATTTAATTTCAACATTTTTTCCTCAATTTTTTGTATTTTATTTCTTTTTTTGTTTGTTTTTTTAATTTTTTTAATTTTTATATTTCCCATACAATTGCAACCCCCTGATTTTGACCCCATAATGGGAATCTAGAAAACCTAAATAAGGGACCAGGAAAAAGAATAACTTTAAGAAAGAAAAAAATCAAAATCAACAAACAACTATGAACCAGAGACACACTTTGGGAGTGGGGGGAAGGAAGGTTTGGGGTTAATTTCAACACTTTTTAACACATGTTCTGTAGCTGGGTTTGTTCCAGATCCAGAATGGTGGGAGAGTATGCACAGTCCTCGGTCAAGGCCTTTTCTTCAGATAGGCGTGATGCATACACATGAAATAAGCGAGAATGTGAAACAACTGAGCAAATACAGTTAGGTGCCCGCACATGTTTTATGGTCACTTGAGCCACAGACAGCTGAGAAGCAAACCTTCAATTGACTGAAGCTCCCCAGATATTACTTTGCTTCCGACAGATTATGAGACCTCCAGCCCCACAGGGTTATGAGTCTGCTACATGATCACTCGCTGGCCACAGCCAGACAAAGTTGTTACTTGAGACATTTGCAGCCTCACCACAACTGAACACCAAATGAAGTCAGATTGCACAAATGCCCTTGCACGGCCAGCAACAACTCACCCCACCCCTGCAGCTCCAACAGGGGCACAGGGGAAAGAGGAAAAATACACCCTCTCCACGCAGTCCTTCTGGTATAGACTGGACCTCAACAGCATGACCCATGTTTCCTAAGCATAGGCCCAAATCAAGACCACACATACATTGCATAAAGCAAAACTGCTTAGAAATGAAGACCTTCTATACATAAAGTGAATTCTAGTGCCTTTTTTTCTTTTTATGATAGTACTTACTTGGTCCAATGACAGGGGGAAACCAGGTCATGGTTTTAGAGACTCTTCACATAGATCCTCTACTCAGCATAAATAATTGCTTTCATTACTGATCAACTTGTGTGTGTATGGGTTTGGAGGGGAGCCAATGGATTCAGAAAAAAATCATGGCTTCAGGAATGACCCCCACAAGGTTCCTGGGTAACTACAGGTAAGCCAGTCTAAGCCACAAACATGTCTTCTCCCCATCACACTGCTTTGCATATACAGATACTCAGTCCCACAGTGCCTTGAGATTTCCCTTCCAATCATCTGACCTTATGAGGGTGTCTAGATCCTCCCTCCTTCCCTGTAGGGAGCAAGTATAAGGAGGCATGTGACGGTCATTTCAACCAAATAGAGGGTCTCCCTGGCACAGCCCAGGGAAGAACATCATCTCTCACAGCAGTGTCATGAAGAGCCTCATCCACCATCTGTCTAACCCCCAGCTCTCCACTGCCCAACCATGCATCAAAGCAAGTCCAAATGAAACAGGGCTTCAAACACTGTTGCCAGAGATTGCTTCACTAAAACCCACAACAACCCATGCATGATAAGGGCTGACTCAAGGAGACAGCATGATAGTGAATGAGTTGTTTTATTCCCACAAAGGGCATTTCTTATCAGGTGTTTAATCACCAGGCAGACAGCAGCCATCCCCTTGCATAGAAATCACTCACCGATGCAGGCGTGGACCCTCACAGACAGCTGTGTCCTCAAAATGATACTGTGCTTCTTGCCCCGCCTAATGGAGGGGAAACAAAACATACATGGGCATCAGAGGGTTCAGCAAGAAGGCACCTAAGTGCTGTCAATGAGCTTGAGGCTCTGACCATGGCAGTTGCTTAGAATTGACCCACTTGAAAGAGGCTCCAGATAAACAGGGATCCAAACAGAACAAGTATCCACCCTGAAATAATGTGACATCACAGACGGCTTTAAACAAAATAATAAAGCAGTGTCAACAGCTTGACACTGTTGGATTGGCACACACATTTTATTGCCAAACCCGGTCAACTCATTCCCTCCAGAGTTTGCACATAATCATGCTTGACCATGTTGGGAAATTTTAAAATCTGTGCCCATGAAGTGAAATCCCTGGAATGTAATAACACATATCTGCTTGATCATTCCCATGGCTTTTTTTTTTTTTTTGCTTTTTTTGATATAAGAAGGGCACACATAGTGGAGGAATTAGAAAGAGCTGCTTTGCTGTGTGTCAATTCAAGACCATTACGGCTTTTCTCTTTTATAGGACAAGAAGGGAGCCCACCAAAGAGTTTATAAGCTATTTATTATCAGGAATACCATTTGACACCACACCTCGTCTCCCCTCTGCTTCTTACTTCATTTCTTGTAAAGGAGGAGGATGGCCCTCTTTAGCTGTTTTACTAAGGCTCATCACCCTGCTTTATGCAGGAGCAGCTTATAGAAAATAAATGGGAGAGAACATGAGTCCTGGCTACCTGGGCTAACAAAGACTTTGAGGCCTGGAGAAAGGGAGAAGTCATGGACAAAGGTAAAAGGTAGCCAGCCAACCAGCAAGGCCAGAGGTAACCCACTGGGCCTCAGGGGCTGAATTTCCACCTCTCGTCTGGCCATACTCATCTCTGCCCATCCGGGTTCCTTCTAGAACAGAATCTGCCAGTGCTTCCTTTCCTGCATCCTTTTACTGTTTTACTGTTTTACTGTTGTGTGGGGAATAGAACATGATGTCTCATCAGGACATACTGCTGATGTCATGATCATAAGTGATCATTATAAATGATCACATTAGCTAAGATATATTACCTAAATATTTTTTCATTCTTGAGATAAGATAGAGGTATGGTGTGGAAAAACTGCTTTTTGATTCATTTACAGGAGTCCTGGGTCTCCAGTCTAGCAGCTGACTTGTAGAGAATCTGTATTCACAGTCCCTTAAATCCAGCAAGTTCTTCCATTCTACTGTGTTCATCTGGTTGTTTTCTAGGTACTCTGTGCAAGGTGCTTTCTACAAATCCACAATGCATGGCCAACTTTGAGATTCGTACAAAGCAAGACTTCTCTAAAACGTTCTTCCTCACAAACAGAACAATCACCCTGATGCCAATGCTCCTTCAATTCTTGGAATCGCAGTAAGAGGAAGTTTCAACTGAGTGCACTGAACTACACTGTTGAACAGCTTCTGTGTGAACTGTCAAAAATGGTGTTCCAGGTGGGAAAAGAAGCCATCAGAGTGTAGCCTCACCCACAGCTGGGCAGGGGTGGAGCTAGGAGCAGAAACCAGCGAACCCCTGATGATGGCCAGACCATAATGAGGAGAAACAGAAACCCTCGTCCTCAAGTCTAGAGAACGTTCTGTAACTCATAATATCTGCAGATATGAGTGACTAATAAAGAACAAATGAACATGTTTTAGCTGCCACATGCAGTTCCCTGGGAAGCATGGGAAGGCCAGGGAAAATATTTCAGAATACTTCATGTTCTGAAAAAGTTCAAAAGGACCCACTAGTAGACCCTACTTTCATCTTCAAACAACTACAAAGTTGTATTTTGAGGAAGCACTTAAGTTTTTCTGCAAAGTTCAGAGTCTCTCACTGACTGTGTGGGGTGGTTGCTCTGGGATTTCAAGCTTCTGCACAAAAATTGGACATTTTTACAGGAGGAAGCAGCAGGCCACCACTCTGGGGTATCACCTTTTCGGTGCTTGTGCACTAAGAAACCAGGCAGATGGACTGGTTAAAGCCAAATCCTAATGGAATTTAAGAAGCATAGGGCTAAAAATACCTTTTATTTAGTATTTTTATCACTTCTATCTCTTCTTCAATATTCTACCTTCTCTGTCTTCCCCTGTACACAAAATCCTACAATGGGAGAAACCTGTATAGAAGTAAGAGCCAAGGGTTGTGGAGGCTGGAGGGCCCAGATCTCAAGGGTTGCTGACAAATGGTGGGTTTGGGGGTGCCAAGGCAGAGGCAAGGGGGCAGTGAGGGTGGCCAGGTCCACAGAAGGCGTCCATCTCCTACTCCTCCCCCCAGACCACCTTTCTCCCACCTTGGATGTGGATACTATCGCTTTGCCCATTTTGCAGGTGAGAGATGCCTGCCAAGCCTGTAGAAGTGACATGACCCACATGAAGCCACATGGCTGGTGGAATCACCTGGGCTAAAAGCAGAGCATCCAGACACCCGTGTTCTCCTGCCTTTTGAGGTACAGATGCCTCACTATATAACCTCCTCCAGAGATCATGAAGGAGAAAGAGTCCCAGCTTTGCTAGGGAACTGGTCCAATCTCAACTCTAAAACCTAACAAGAAGACACAGAAAATAAGCTGCAAATGTCTAAGAAAATATCAGCAAACCACGTGATGCAACTTATGAAAACACAACAGGTCCAAATAAGGTTTATCCCAACAATTCAAGAATTACAGGAAATCCAATGTTTTATTCATATATGCATCAAATATCAAGGTATAGCTGACGCCCATCATAAGGGTCCTCTAAATTTGACAGCTTTCCCTACCCCACCACGGTATTTTCTCATTGGTTAATGGTGACATTTTGAATAAAGGTTACCTTTTATGTATTTCTCTTAAATATGCCCCTCTTGTTATTGATTCTAAAGACATTTTGGCTGATTCTTTTTGACTTATTTTAGGGACATAATCATGTTTTAAAATAGTCATTTTATTCCCCATTTGTCTAGTAAGTATGGCCTTATCTTCAGAGAAAAATTAAGTAATCCTAGGTATACTTTCTTCTGCCCCCAATCGGATAATAAGTCAGTTTGGTTTCAGAAAATAATAAAGTGGTAACATTTATGGAATACTTATCACATGCCAATTGAGTTTTAAAGCACAGTATACAGATTAAATCTTCACAAAATTCCTAAGCAGTAAGTAACATTGCCATTTGAAAATGAGAAAATTGAGGCTGGCGAGGGTTAAGCACTATAACTGAAGGCTCAGAGTTAGAGACTGACAGTTTGGATCCAGCCCAGGCAGTTTGACCCAGAGCCTGGGCCACTATCACCTCCCTGCAGGGGGCTCCCAGATGGGTGTTCCTGCATCACGAGGGAGAGCCCTCATTCAACACACTATCACTGGTGCCGCCCCTGTGCTGGACTCTAGCTGAGGCCCATGGAGTGCATTCTGTCTCAAGACAGGAACAAAAAATCCTGCAGATTTGGGACTCAAGACTGTAGCATTAACTCATACCTGGATTCCCAACCTACTGGCCCTCTCTACATGTGTCAAAACTTGCCAGTCCCTACAATGGTGTAAGCCAGTTACTTAAAATAAATCTCTAGATAGACTAGGTAAAACAGATTTGATAAATTAGACAAAAGACACAGACACATAATCATACCAATTGTTTCAATGAAGAACCCTAATACGAACATTTGGTGTGTGCCTTCATGGAACTTCCATGTTCCAAAAATGACATCAGTGAGGAGCAGCCAATGTGGAGTCACTGCAAGCACTTTTGTGATGCTTTTCTCCCTGATATTGGCATGCTTGTCCATTTCACAGCTACCACTCATTCCAAGTCTTTTTTTTTATTTCCCCAGCAGCAGCAGGGTGAAATGAGAATACATGGAGTGGCCAGAAAGGCAAAGGCAGTTTACTTGACCTGTAACGCCCCAGGGAGATTCAGATTCCATTCCTATCAGCATAGCCACTGCCAGGGAAACGTCACCAGCTTGGGAGACCAGCCACAGCCAATCGGTTGCCCATTCCCCAGTGTAGTGCTACCCAAGTGATGAGAGGACTATCTAAAATAGATGCTCAGTTCAAGGAGGCTTCAGGGGAGTTACACATGCCAAGGACATGGTGGTACTCCCGCTAAAGAAGCTTTCCAAGACTTCTGTTTCTCAGAAAGCATGTGTTGTTCTTACAATAATGTCTATGACCTTGGGGAAAATCTGGTTTCACGAAGTCAATCTCACAGAAATGTGTGGCTTTTGAGTCTATTCTTGTCTCTCAAGAGAATATGTTTGCAGGAGTAACTTAAAGGTTGTTTATAACTCTAAGAACAGGTGTTTGCATTATTTTATTGAGTGGTGAGAAGTTAGACCTAATGACCCTTTCCTGCAACCAATATATGCCCCAAATGCCCCAAATAGTCCTCCACTTAAACTGAACTCAGTGATTTCAGTTGGGTAGAAAATATTTATTTGACCATGCAGCAGAAGCAGATAGTTGGGCCCCTCAGCAGTGGGCCCAAGAATAAGCTTTTTAGTAAGCTTCCGGAGCTGTGAGACTCAGCAATGGTCTGCCTGAGGAATAAAGAGATGAAGGAAGATTTCAACCAGCCAACAGTTAGAAAAAGGATAGGGCTAAGATCAATTAGCTCAGGAACTCAGAGTCCAAAAGAGCCAGTAACTGCTATATTCATCTCCAGAGGTATTCTGACCTTCTAAGTAGGGAGCAGAGGTGAAAAGCAAAGACTCAAGCCAGCTGTGTGATCTTGGACAAGTTAACCTCTCTGAGCCTCAGTTTCCTTTAAACATGGGATATTATCAGGCTTTTGGTGTCATATCTGAGAAACTACTGCCTAATGCAAGGTCACAAAAACTAGCTCCTATTTTTTTCCTACAAGTTTTATACTTGGTTCTTCCCCCACTTAGGCCCTCCCAATCCCCCAGCTCTCCCCTTCCCCACATCTCCTCTCCTCCCCCTTCTCAAATGGGAAATAAGCCTTTGCCCAGCTCATTCACAATGCCCAACAGCTGTGCAAGTGTGTTCTCCTCAGCCCCACATTAT